CCAGCCTCCTGAGTCGCTGGGATTACAGGCACGTGCCACCATGCCCAGCTAATTTTTTGTATTTTTAGTAGAGACGGGGTTTCACCATGTTGACCAGGATGGTCTCGATCTCTTGACCTTGTGATCCACCTGCCTCGGCCTCCCAAAGTGCTGGGATTACAGGCTTGAGCCACCGCGCCCGGCCGCCACAACATTCTTGTAGGCCAAAATCTAATCTATAGCAAGGCCCTAACTCTATTCAATTCTGTGAAGGCCGAGAGATGTGAGGAACTTGTGTAAGAACAGTTTGAAGCTAGCAAAGTTTGGCTCATGTGGTTTAGGGAAAGAAGTTATGTGCATAACAAAAGTGTAAGGTAAAGCAGCAAGTGCTGATTTACCCAGAAGCTGCAGCAAGTTACCCAGGATAATTGATGAAGGTGGCCACACTAAACAACAGATTTCCAGTGTACATGAAACAGCCTTCTACTGGAAGAAGATACCTTCTAGGACTTTCATAGTTCGAGAGAACAAGCCAATGCTTGCTTCAGAGCTTCAAAGGACAGGCTAACTTTCTTGTTAGGTGCAGTCCAGCTGGTAGCTTTAGGTTGAAGCCACTGCTCATTTACCTTCCCCCAAATCCTAGGGTCCTCAAGAATTGTGGTAAATCTACTCTGCCCTTGCTTTATGTATGGAAAAACAAAGCTTGTATTGTCATCTGTTTACAGCATGGTTTACTGACTATTTTAAGCCTCCCATTGACACCTACTGCTCAGAAAAAAAGATTCCTTTCAAAATATTACTGTTTGTTGACCACGTACCTGGTTACCCAAGAGCTCTGATAGAGATATTCAAGGAAATGAATCTTGTTTTCATGCCTGCTAATACAACATTTATTCTGCAGCCCATGGATCAGGGAGTAATTTTGACTTGCAAGTCTTATTTTTTAAGAAATGCAATTTGTGGCTGCTATGGTGGCTCATGCCTGTAATCCCAGTACTTTGGGAGGCTGAGGTGGGCAGAACATGAGGTTAGGAGTTCGAAACCAGCCTGGCCAACATGGTGAAATTTCGTCTCTACTAAAAATACAAAAATTAGCCAGGTGTGGTGGCAGGCGCCTATAATCGCAGCTACTTGAAAGGCTCAGGGAGGTGAATCACTTGAAAACCAGAAGGCGGAGGTTCCAGGGAGCCAAAATCCATACCACTGCACTCCAGCCTCGGTGAAAGAGTGAAACTCCATCTCAAAAAAAAATAAATAAATAACACGCAAAAGAAATGCATTTTGTACAGCTATAGCTGCCGTAGTGATTCCGCTCATGGATCTGGGGAAGGTAAGTTGAAACCTGAAAAAAATTCAGCATTGTAGATGTCATTAAAAACATTGTGGGCCGGGCGCAGTGGCTCACGCCTGTAATCCCAGCACTTTGGGAGGCCGAGGCGGGTGGATCACGAGGTCAAGAGATCGAGACCATCCTGGTCAACATGGTGAAACCCCGTCTCTACTAAAAATACAAAAATTCAGCTGGGCATGGTGGCGCACGCCTGTAGTCCCAGCTACTCGGGAGGCTGAGTCAGGAGAATTGCCTGAACCCAGG